GTAATCCGTAAGGTGAAAAAAACTAAGATTCCATCACATGACAGCCATGTCTGTTTAAAGGAAACGCTAATCCGAACTGACGTGTGACAATACTCTCCTCGCCTTAATAAGGCCACATATGAGGCGCTGGCAAGAGGTGGAGGAGAGGCAGAAGCAGGACTCCAGGGAGTGAGGGATAGGGAAGGGAGCCAGGAAAGGAGGCTATACAAAGTCACCAGAAAACAGAGGAAGAGAGAGGATGGCCAGGTTCCAAGGATCAATCGCGGGGTCTTGCTGTCAGCTGCCGTGGGCTGGGAGGTGACCGATGAGCAGGTGAACCCCAGCTCTCTGTGTGTACTGTGGTTTAGTCTGGCATCAATGACAAAAATGTGCCCGAGAGTGCAGCTCTGTGACGCTGTAAAGTTCTCACAAGCTTTGCTGGCCAACGTCTTTCTGCAGCTCCCACCCCAAAGTGACAAAGCAACCCAAGTGACCTCCCCGGTATCAAGAATCAGAGAGGCCAGGGCTGGCGCCAAGGTGTAATGGGACAAGCATCCACCTGAGGCACAAGCATCTCAGAGGGGCACCAGTTTGAGTTCTGGATGCTCCTCTTCTAATCCAGCTCTCTGCCCACAGCTTGGGAAAGCAGTGGAAGATGGACCAAGTCCTTGGGCGCCTGTACCCGTGTGGGAGACCCACAAGAAGCTCCTGGCTCTGGATTGGCACAGCTCTGGCCATGATGGCCATCTGGAGAGTGAACCAGTGGATGAAGATCTTTGTCTCTCCCTCTGTAACTCTGCCTCTCAATAAATAAATCTTACAAAAAAAAAAAATCAGAAGCCAACCAAAATGCTGGAGGAGACCAGAACCCACACCTAAGTGGGGAGGACTAAGGAAATCTTTGAGTTATCGGAGGTACCAGAGAAACCAACTTGCACAGAGGGAAACGAAATTTCTCCAAGAAATGCACTTCTGCTGGCACTCAGGACGCGAGGAGGAGCCCACAGAACGGTGAACTGGATCTGGCCCTGTCTACACCGTCATTTGACACTCAGAGGCAGGGCTCACCAATTACCAGGGAAGAGGAACTGGGGGTGCAGGGAGCACCTCTAGATGGAGACCGGTGGTGAAGAAGACAAAAATCAACTCTCTTGACAAAGACTAGTGACTTCAACCTCAACTCTCAAACCTTGTACTCTAGCTTCAGCACTCCCTCCCTCCTTCCCTCATGTGCACACTTCGGACTCTCCCCCAAGGACTACCCGGGTCAGTGCAACCTTACAGAGCCCTGGAGATTTCCCAGGGACTTCCACATCCTATCGGAGAACGGTTTTATCTACAATGTACTTCTGTGGTTAGACTCCCCTGGAATGCCCACAGGACTTGTACCTGGGGGCCAGGTAGATGTAAGAGGCATTCCTGTTAGGCTGCATACAATGGGTCTAAAGCAACCCTAGCCCAACAAGGATGCTCCAACAGAAGGTCACGAGAGCAGAATTACCACTTCACCGTTCTCATTCCTCTTTGCACCTGCAATGATCTTTCTTCATGGCGACCAGAATCTAAAGGCCACACTGGTTCCTTCCTCTCGGCCACGCTCCTGGCCAAGAATGGAATGGGCCATGCCTGGCCGTCATGCCCGTCTGTCCCTTCTTCATGTCATTCCTTAGGAAACCGCACTCACATCATCCTAGAACAGAATTCTTCTGGGAGCCACTCTGCATTGTTCTAGACTTCTATTCCTGGATGCATCCGATACAATACACCTATTTGCTGCCCTCATATCCATCTTGACAGCAGGTCAGTGAAGAATGGCCATCCCCTTAGTTTTTCAATCCTCAGGTCTCCCTTTACCCTGAAATCAGTTTCTTTTCTTTTTGTCCCACAGCACCCTACACATTCACCTGAAGTAGCAGCTTTAGGTCCACCGTGTCCGTCAGCCTAATAGGAGGCAGCCTTAGCGTCAGGACTTCAGAGGCCCTCAGGGGGCCGCCACCCAAAAACCACCTATGCTGCTAATCCGCCAGCCCACCCACCCCCAGTGTTCCTGCTGATTCAATTACTTTGGTTCCAATCCTAGGGCTCGAGGTGGCTTCAGCTAAAATACCTCCAGAAGACAAGTCACGGCCAGCCATTGGTTCCACAGCTAGAATCTGAGACTGTTTTCTAAGAAGACAAAAGACAGCAAGTGGGGCACCAGGAGCGAGGAGGCAGAACAGCTGGGACAGGAGCACAGGCAGGCAGACGACCAGGTGCTGCATATGTAAGATGGGCTGTTATCAAGAACCCCTGAGCAAACGCACAGGTGAGCTGAGTGTGACGCCCAGCACACGGCACACACACACACAGGCGTCGGCTGTTAGTGTCACAGCCAGTGCCAGTGGACGAGAGTCACCCGGGGAGTGTGCCCCAGCCTGGCTGCAGCCCAGGCCTCACTCCAGACTACAGATCAGATATTCCAAGTGTATGGCCCTGATACTTGTATTTTCTTTCCTTTTCCCCCCAGTAAGCCTCGTAGGGGACTCTGATGCAAAGTACCACAGGAACCAACGCTACAAAGCACTACTTCTCAGATTGTAACGCGCATTCACCCCACCTAAGGAGCGCCTCAAAACGCAGGTGCTGATTCCCAGAGTCGAACAGGCTCTCGGGTGTGCCGGCCCTGCTCAGCTGCAGGTGGTGCTTGGAATAGCAGGGACACGAGGGTACTTCGGAAAGTCCATGGAAAAAGGAATTAAAAGATTGGTTAATATGGGACACATATTCAGAAAATTCTTGAGATCCATGCATACAAGGGGTCTGCAAAAACCTCACAGAAAATGGCCATTAGGGGGGAAAAAAAGCACAGACTTCAAATTTTTTTGCATCAGAATAAACTGATCTTTTGATTCCATTTTCCATGAATTTTTTAAAAGATTTGAAAGAGTTATAGAGAGGCAGAGGCAGATCAAGATCTTCCATCTGCTGGTTCACTTCCTAAATGGCTGCAACAGCTGGAGCTGGGCCAATCTGAAGCCAGGAGCCTCTTCCAGGTCTCCCATGCAGAGGCAGGGACCCAAGCACTCAGGCCTACTGCTTTCCCAGGCTGCAGCAGGGAGCTGAATCAGAAGTGGAGCAGCCAGGACTCGAACCAGCTCCCATATAGGATGCCGGCACTGCAGGTGACAGCCTTACCCACAGCACCACAGCACCAGCCCCTCCATGAATTTTTGAAGTGCCTGCATATAGAAAGTATCACAAGAGAGAACAGGGGTGATTAAAAAAAAAAAAAAAAAAAAAGAGACGAGTAAGGGGCAGGCATTGTGGAATAGCAGTTAAGCCCCTGCTTGGAGCGTCCATATCCCGTATCGCAGCACCTGGCTCGAGTCCTGGCAACTCTGCTAATGCAGACTGGGAGGCAGGGGAGGATGGCTCAAGGATTTGGGCCCCTGCCACTTGTGTGGGAGACCTGAATGGAGTTCCAGGCCCCTGGCTTCAGCCTGGCCCAGCCATAGCTGTTGCAAGCACTTAGGGAGTCAACCAATAGATGGAAGACCGTTCTCTCTGCAGCTTGTAAAAAGTTTTTAAAAAAAAAAAAAAAGTAGAGGGGACAAAACACAACGAAGCCACGAAGAAGACCTAACTCCTAGGCTGGCACATCCAGCATCATGATATGACACAGGGAAGAACAAACAGCCTGGTGCCCAGCCACTTCTCAGCACGCCTAAGGAAGGGCTTGAGCCGTGAGCTCCCCCACTGCCCAGAACTATTTAAATGCTTCCCTGCTTCTGACCACCACCTCTCTCCTTGGCCCCAACCACCCCTCCGCGGTGAAGCCCCTCCTAACTAAATCCTTAGTAGCATACAGACTGAAAAAGACCCCTTCCTTCAATCCTTCAATGGCAAGGTCTTTCTGTAAAGATGGGACTTTCTATTCACCCGCGATTCCTTTGCTTGCCTGTTCCATTTCACCAACTCAGATCACCGTCCTCGGCCACTTACTTCATCCCCGGAGCCAGGACACCAAAGGCTGCCGCCCATCTATGGGGAACGGCGGTAACCAGGCCACCACCACAGGTGCCCGTCGGCACCTAAAAACTCTGCCCAGGGCACTGCCAACAGAGCACCGCCACTCTCCGACGGCACTGCGTCTAGCCCCCTGGGTTTAGTAATCGTGTTCTGAAAACCCCAACCACTGCTGGAACCAACACGGAGGGAAAAAAGCGGCTTCCGCCTCCTCGTGGGCTCGCGCTAGGGCGTGGTTTGCAATCGTGGCCGAACTTCAGCCACCTGGGACCCTCCCACCAGGCTCTCCCAGCCCCACTCTGATTTAACTATCTGAAGCGGAACCTGGTGGTGCGTGGCTGAGCGCGAGCATGGCTGCCCTGGGGAAGCCACACTGTCCCTAACTAGGAACTTGGAGGGAAGATGCTGCCCCTCCCCCGTGAACACAGCAGCCCTGGTGGAGGAGACTGGGAGAGGCTGGCTTCCACCCCGAGCTCCTTGCTTTCTGTCCTGGTTCCCACAGTGAGGATAAGGGGAGGCCAGTTCTAAAGATGTCACAATTTATGGTTTATCCACTTCAGCCTTGGAAAAGCTGGGTCCTCCAACAGAGCCGAGTTCAGAGCAGCTGCTGGCTCTCAGGCGAATCACCCGCTGGCCAAGGCCAGGGAGAAGAATCCAGCTGCCTTGCTCCTCCACCTCTGCTACAGTCTTCTCAGGACACATTTTTACAATACGCCAATTAAAAAAAAATACACACATACTCATTTTTTTTTTCCAAATAATGACTTCAGGATAGCAAACAAAGCAAAAAACTCAACCAAAGAATGCAGGAGAATTTTTCTGACTTCATCCCTCCCTTTGAGATGGGATTCGGCTACACAGACTCGGCTTACAAATTCTGAACTATATCTAATGGAATAGAAAATTATGATCACATGCTATAAATAAATGGGGTGTATTTCACTAAGGAACTTAAGGCCTTCAGGAAATGGCTGTAGTACCCGCCAAGCGGTCCCTTGTAAAGGAAAACACCATACCTGATCAGATCTGGCTCTGCGCCCTCATTCTTAAAGGATGCCAGGACTAATTACACTACTCAGAGGAGACCTGAACAACCCTCTACATCCCCTGCTCGGACCTTCAACTTCACTGGTTCTGCAGATAAAGTACCCTGACGTAAGTACTACCACAGAGGGACTTACACACATAGACCTGGATTGCTGTGCAAGCTCTTTTTTTTTTTTTTTAATTTAATTTATTTGAAAGGCAGAGATACAGAAAGAGAATCTTCCATCTGCTAGTTCACTCCCCAAAATAGCTGCAATGGCTGGAGCTGGGCTGATCCGAAGCCAGGAGTCAGGAGTTTCATCTGGGTCTCCCCTGTGGGTGCAGAGTACTTTTCCCGGGTGCATTAGCAGGGAGCTGGATGGGAAGTGGAGCAGCTGGGACTTGAACCGGCACCGATATGGGATGCTGTCGCTGCAAGCAGAGGTGTAACCGTCTATGCTCCTGTGCACGTTCTTTCACTGAGAAATGCTCTAGGTACACAGGGTTTTCTTCCCAGTGACCAGCGCCCAAATGACTTTCTTTTCTATTGATGGGGCAACCTGGCTCAGTGAGTCATTAGGTCTTTTGTTCTTCTTTTTTAAATATTTATTTATTTGAAAGTCAGAGTTACACAGAGAGAGGAGAGGTAGACAGAGAGAGAGAGAGAGAGAGGTCTTCCATCCGATGGTTCACTCCCTAATTGACCACAACGGCCACAGCTGTGCTGATCCGAAGCCAGGAGCCAGGAGCTTCTTCCGGATCTCCCACATGGGTGCAGGGGCCCAAGGACTTGGGCTATCTTCTACTGCTATCCCAGGCCATAGCAGAGAGCTGGATTGGAAGTGGAGCAGCTGGGTCTCAAACCGGTGCCCATATGGGATGCCGGCGCTTCAGGCTAGGGCGTTAACTCTCTGCGCCACAGCAACAGCCCTGAGTCATTAGGTCTTAAATGACGAGTGTCAGTCCCCTAAGATTTTGTTTCTGGAAAGGGGAGAGGGATGTTCTCTCTTTCTTCCATGGTAACACCTAAGTAACATACCTGGAATATATCTGGTAGAAGGTGTTACCATCAGGTCATTACTAAAAGGCTCTGTGTGACCTTTAAGGAAAACCACAAAGAAATAACCACATTTTAATGTTTTACTCTAGTGAGCGTCCTAGGCTGGGAGTTTGAAGGGTAGCACTGTGGTCCCCCCCCCCCACTTTTTTTTGTCTATTGGCTTGAAACACTTATCACCCTAATTTCTTTACCTGCAACACCAGATAATCTCTACTACCTTTTCCAAGACAGTTCATGAGTGAAGGTTAAAAAATAAAATCAGGGCTAAATCTTAAATTTTATATACTAGCTTTCTTGAAGCCACACAAGCTCTACAAGGCTGTATTGTGTGTGTGTGTGTGTGTGTGTGTGTGTTTTAAAAAAGGAAATATCAAAGGAGAAATTTTCTGCCACATGTGCATGAGTTTTGGAGAAAGCTAACAACGAAACGGACATATCTGATACAGGACACAAAAAGTAATCACAGAAATAAGCCAGCCCTACTCAGTTTTATCTGGTTTTTAATCTTTTTTTATTATTATTAAATTGTCTTTGTTTATTACAGCTGAAAGGCTGGGGGGTCAAAGCAGCCCTGACCACAAGTAACGAGACCCAGTAGCAACAAGACATGAGTGAAACTGCTGCTTTGGACAAAGAAATACTTTTCTTTGTCAAACAGGAAAATAAAACATTGCATCTAGTCCCAAAAAGTTTCTGAGAAACTGGCAGAATCAAGTAGTAGCATCCCCACTGCCCAGGGAATCTGTATTTTTGTTGCTAATCTTACACAGACAAGAACAATCTAACTTGGAGCCAGAGTTGTGGGCCCAGAGGGTTAAGCCAGAGCTAGCACATCGTGAGTCCTGGTTCAAGTCCCAGCTGCTCCACTTCCAATCCAGCTTCCTGCTAATGTGCCTGGGAAAGCTGTGAAAGATGTTTCAAGTGCTTGGGTCCCTGATACCCATGTGGGAGGCTGGGATGGAGTTCCTGACTCCTGGCTTTGGCCTGGTCCAGTCCTGGCTACTGTGGCCATTTGAGAAGTGAAACAGCAGATGGAAGATTCTCTCTCTCTCTACCCCCTTCCCCTGCCTTTCAAATACATAAAAAGGAAAAATTATAATCCCCCCTAAACCAATGTAACTGAGCAGTGTTAGCAGCTTTAGGTATTTAAAAAATGAAAAATGAATTCTCTCCACATTCCAGAATGCCATCCCTTCCTGAGTCGGATTACTACCATTACCTTTCTATTTCCTGCTGGAATGATAGTCACTAAACACCTTATCTTGGAGATGTGAAGCAGCAATTGTAACTAAGAAACAGGGAGCTTAAGGGCTTCCTCTACAGTAATAAAACAGCCAAATATTAGCCTTTTTACCAATGCAATATCAAGAATATCGATTTTTTTTAAAGATTTATTTATTTATTTGAAAGTCAGAGTTACACAAAGAGAAAAGAGGCAGAGAGAGAGAGAGAGGTCTTCCATCCGCTGGTTCACTCCCCAATTGGCCACAACGGCCAAAGCTGTACCAATCTGAAGCCAGGAGCCAGGAGCTTCTTCCGGGTCTCCCACGTGGGTGCAGGGGTCCAAGGACTTGGGCCATCTTCTACTGCTTTCCCAGGTCATAGCAGAGAGCTGGATTGGAAGTGGAGCAGCCGGGTCTTGAACCAGCGCCCATATGGGATGCCGGCGCTTCAGGCCAGGGCATTAACCCGCCACGCCACAGTGCCGGCCCCTCAATGTTTTCCAAAATTAATGGTAAACTGTCAATAAAGCAGAAAGTTTTTCCTCCACATAAAAGAAGCTATGACAAAATCTAAAAAATAACAGAAGGTGTGACAAGAATTACCCAGGCTGGGGCCAGCATTGTGATACAGTGGGTTAGGCTGCCACTTGTCATGCTGGTATTCCATCTGGGAACTAGTTTCAGTCTCACTTGTTCCACTTCTAATCCAGCTCCTGGCTAATGTGCCTGGGAAAACAGCAGAAGTGGATCCCTGCACCCACATTTGGCACCCCAGTGGAGTTCGACTCCTGGTTTTGGCGTGGCCCAGCCCTGGCCATTGCAGTCATTTAGGGAATGAACCAGCAGATGAAAATTCTCTCTCTCTCCCCCGTCCCTCTCTTTAACTGCCTTTCAAACAAATAATATCTATATCTATCTGTCTGTCTATTCATCTATCCACCCAGCCTTGTCACATGTACCATGCTCCACCTGCCCTGGCAACCTTTGCATTTTGGGGGATTTCAGTCACCAGCTCCACAAGCAAATATCTGCTGAACTAGAATCCAATATCACAATTAAACACATATGCAAATGGCTCTGTGGTTTAAACATTCAAAAATAAAATTGTGGCTGTAGTATTAGAAGACACGGGAGAATGTTTTAACAATCTGAGTGCAGGAATAATCTTTCCAAGCAAAATTGAAACCCTAGGCGCCATGAAGGAAAACCTAGAAGGTGTCACTATATAAAATTTTAAATAGCTACAAAATAAAATCACAAGTGACCAATTAATAGTGGCAAATGAAAAAAAAAGGGCAAAAGACATAACTAAGCATGGAAAAAAGAAACACTAATGTCTTAAATGAAAAGACATTCAGGGGCTAGAGCTGTGGCGTAGAGGGTAAAGCTGCCACCTGCAGTACTGGCATAACCATGTGGCCACTGGTTTGAGACCCAGCTGCTCCACTTCTGATCCAGCCCTCTGCTATGGCCTGGGAAAGCAGTAGAAGATGGCCCAAGTCCTTGGGCCCCTGCACCTGCGTGGGAGACCCAGAAGAAGCTCCTGGTTCCTGGTTCCGGATCAGCCCAGCTACAGTCATTGCAGCCAATTGAGGAGTGAACCAGTGGATGGAAAACCTCTCTCTCTCTCTCTCTTTGCCTCTCCTTCCCTCTCTGTGTAACTCTGACTTGCAAATAAGTAAATAAACCTTAAAAAAAAAAAAAGACATTCAGTTTCATGTTAGTTAAAGAAATGTAAGATGCCACTTTGCCCTATCAGGCTGGGAAAGGGTAACAAGGCACCCTTGGAAGTGGATGAGGAACAAGGCACTCACCTTCTGGGGAGAAGGTAAACAGGCCTCATTCATTGCCAGATTGCCTTCTAAACATCTAACAAAATGTAAGAGGCACATTCCTCTCAACAGACATTTCTCCTGCAGATACATTCACACACCTGTACGGGGACTTAGCAGTAAGGATGTTCACTGCGGTGTTATTTATCTCCACTAACCGCTGGAAGCATCCTAAATGTCCATCAATAAGTAACAACTGGCCAGCGCCGTGGCTCAATAGGCTAATCCTCCACCTTGCGGTGCCGGCACACCGGGTTCTAGTCCCGGTCGGGGCGCCGGATTCTGTCCTGGTTGCTTCTCTTCCAGGCCAGCTCTCTGCTGTGGCCCGGGAGTGCAGTGGAGGATGGCCCAAGTGCTTGGGCCCTGCACCCGCATAGGAGACCAGGATAAGCACCTGGCTCCTGGCTTCGGATCAGCGCAATGCGTTGGCCACAGCGGCCATTGGAGGGTGAACCAACGGCAAAAGGAAGACCTTTCTCTCTGTCTCTCTCTCTCTCACTGTCCACTCTGCCTGTCCAAAAAAAAAAAAAAAAAAAAAAAAAAACAACTCTGCATCTCTACAATGGAATGTGTTGCAGGCTAAAAAAAGTTGTTTACGCACTGACGATGATGATGATAATTCACTTTTCTGAGAATTTACCAAAACACAGGGATTACTTGGTATGGATTAATCTCCAAAAGAAAAAACAAAGCAGAAGCAACAAGTGGCTGAGCAGTGAACATTATGCTAATGCCAAGTTAAGAAATGAGTGGGGCCACGTGGAGCCTACAGGTAACATGATGGTTGGCACGCCCACACACCACGCTGGAGCACCTGGGCTTGAGTCCCGGCTCTGCTCCGGATTCTTGCCTCCTGCTAACACACAGCAGGTGTTGGCTCAGGTACTTGCGTTCCCTGCAACCCACATGGAAGACCCGGATTGAATTCCTGGCTCCTGGCTTCAGCCTGGCCCAGGCTTAGCTGTGCAGGCATTTGGGGAAGTGAACTGTCTGATGGGAACTCTCTCTGTATGTCTTTAAGTGTCTCTACCATCTTCTCAAATACATAACATAAATTTTAAAAATAAGATGGGCATATATGAGGGGGGTCTTTAAAAAAAATTCATGAAAAATGTTTATTATGAAAAAAACTGTGCACAGATTTTAAACTCTTTTGCACCAAAATAATCTTCAATTCCATTTTTCTAGAAGCTTTTGGAAGTATCTTCATATGTTTGCGAGCACTCAGAAAATTTCTGGATGGACACACAAAGAATTGCCTGTAAGGACTCAGGGTGTGAGGAAAACCTACTGTTCACTTGTGGGGAGCAATCCGGACTAGACTGAGTTACTGGAATTAAGACTTATTCTATGCATCTGCTCTCCCACAGTATGGCGCTGGGAGAGAAGAAAACAGCTTCTACACAGCTGCCTCCAGTTCAGCCAATAAACTGTAGGACTTGCTCCTGATTGGAGAGCAGCGTACTCAGCGTGTGGGCAGCCGAGTTAGGATTGGCGGAGGAGGACTATAAAGGAGGAGAGAGACGGCATGCACCAGGAACATCTATGGGGAACATCTAGCTGAAGGAACACCTGTGCAGCCCCCGAGAAGAGCCGGCCGGCGGTGTGCCGCTCCCCTGCGGAAGTGGGGAATGTGGCCAGGGGGAACTGCCCTTCCACGGAGGTGGAAGGGATAGTAGCCAACCCGGGAAGAACCAGCAGCAAACCCGGGGAGGGCCGAGCAGACGAAAGAACAGCGCAGGGGCCTGTGTCGTTCCTCCACGAAGAGGGGGAGCGACATAATGGTGCCGTGACTCGGATATGAAGCCTAGGCAGGGTTTAGTGTTGCTCCTCCACGAAGAGGGGGAGCGACATAATGGTGCCGTGACTCGGATATGAAGCCTAGGCAGGGTTTAGTGTCGTTCCTCCACGAAGAGGGGGAGCGACATAATGGTG